GAGGGGGAGAGGTGGGGGGGGAAGTATTCTCTGAAAATCTGTTTGATCAAGATTCAGCCATCTTTAAAATGCTCAAACCATAACTTTTTTTTATGATGTCACTGTAGGGCACAGTTGTGTGTTCTGTTGAAAGAAAATATTTTAAGTTATGAGGAATTATCAGGAAAATGGCCACTTATCCCTTTTAAAAAAACAAACAAACAAACCACAAAACAAAATAAAACACCTTTGTGCATATGCTATTATTAGTTGCATTTAAACATCTGGGAAGACGGTGAGGGCACAGATTGGTATAACATATAACATTTGAAATGCTCTAAGTACCTTTTAAAGCACTCCAAAATAGAAGGTACAGATGTACTCAGTCAATGAAGCATTTGAAATATAGCCATTCCACTTCAAAAATAACCCCAGGAAAAAGAGGAATAACTCTGAAGAGCTTTGTGTTGCATGTGCACCCTCCAGCAGGGTGCAATAGGGAGTTGATTGACCCTCTGGCATCCTACATTGCTCTGCTTTCCACCCCCTACTGCTCCAAGATAGCACTTCTGGTAATTATTTTAAACCAGGACAGGCAAAATACAGCCCACGGGCTGAATCCGGCCTGCCAGGCCATTCTATCTGGCCTGTGGGGCCCCTAAAAAAAATTAGTAAATTAATATTTATTTGCTCCTGGTTGCCTGTCCAAAGCTGACAGGAGGCAGGGGCAGTAGGACCCAGGGGAAGCCCTCAGCAGAATTGAGCAGCCCCCCCCCAGCCATTTCACTCTTTTCCTGCCCCCACCCTGCTCCCGCACCGTGTAGCTTCTGGTTTCATTGCGGGACCGGGGAGCATGAGGCCCCACCATTATGTGTGTTGTGTGTGTGTAGGCAGGAGCAGTGTGGTATGTGTGCAGGCAGGGGCAGTGTGTGTGTGTGTGTTCATAGGGTGAGTCCCACATGCACACCCCACCATATGCATTCACCCACATCTCTCTCCGCACTGCCATACATGCAGACCCCCATAGCCACACCCCCTCATACATCCCAGCCACCCTCCCCACACACAGCCCCCCACAAACCCATACCCACCCATGCCCCATATACCCACACACCCACAGCCCCCTACAAACCTATATACATCTCTCACGATATACAAGAATAAGACTTCATTTTAAGCTATTGTTCAGTCACCTCTGTGTACACTACACAGATGCATGTGAAAGGACAAAAATATTTTTGGAAATCAAATTAATGAATGGTTTGATGTTTGCTTTTTAGAATATACTTTGGTATTTTTCTGGTTCTGAGATGGCAAAACCCCTTGCTGAAAGGAGTACCTCTGGGGGCAAGGGGAGGGACTTTTGCTGGGAAAGGTCAGGGGTTAGAGGGCGAGACTTCCAGTCACAAGATGGCGACCAGGGGGCAGGGCACCTGTCTACAGGTGGGGCTACCCATGGGGCCCTCAACAGCTTGCCCAAATTCGGTAAGTGGCTCTCTGCCCAAAATAATTGCCCGTCCCTGTGCTAAACTCTACTGCTCTGAGGTCACAGGATTGGCACACCTCATTTTGTTGAACATCCTCATTTTGTTGAACATCCGCCTTAAGGATTCAGTCTCTGCTGTTATGGATTGAGGATTTTTTTTGGAACACGTCACTGGCAGCCTACACCCAGAATGTCTGTGCCACTCTCATCTATTTTGTTTGAGGTGATCTACCAATCGGAAGTGGGCAGAGATAACGCACCTTCTTGCCATCTGGGTGTGAGAATGCTGGGCATTCATCCTGGGCAGGCCACCACAACCAAACTAAGTGCATTGCCTCCAAAATAGCTGCTCAGAGGCACAACTGTGATTGGCACCAGTACCAGGTCAAGGACAAAGTTCCGATTCATAGATTCATAGATGTTAGGGTCGGAAGGGACCTCAATAGATCATTGAGTCCGACCCCCTGCATAAGCAGGAAAGAGTGCTGGGTCTAGATGACCCCAGCTAGATACTCATCTAACCCCCTCTTGAAGACCCCCAGGGTAGGGGAGAGCACCACCTCCCTTGGGAGCCCGTTCCAGACCCTGGCCACTCGAACTGTGAAGAAGTTCTTCCTTATGTCCAATCTAAATCTGCTCTCAGCTAGCTTGTGGCCATTATTTCTTGTAACCCCCGGGGGCGCCTTGGTGAATAAATACTCACCAATTCCCTTCTGTGCCCCCGTGATGAACTTATAGGCAGCCACAAGGTCGCCTCTCAACCTTCTCTTGCGGAGGCTGAAGAGGTCCAGTTTCTCTAGTCTCTCCTCGTAGGGCTTGGTCTGTAGGCCCTTAACCATACGAGTGGCCCTTCTCTGAACCCTCTCCAGGTTATCCGCATCCCTCTTGAAGGTATAAGATGGTGAGGTATAAGAAGGTTCAAGATGCCATTTGGATGTCAGGTGCTTGGAAGGTGGCTGGTGCCTACAAGGAGCTGCCAGGGATTCTTGTGGGAGACAACTCGGCAGAGCTCTGTTATGTTGCTGACTCTGGAGCCAGCCCTGAGGCTACTGGGGAGTTGGAGAGCTCTGACCTGAAAGAGTGGGAAGACCCTGCAGTCCTTGCCTCCATCACAGCAAAGGAGCAGGCACAGAAGAAATAGAGTTGTTCCTTCTTTTGGGAACACTCATGGGTGGTTTTACCACCCATCTGTATGTGAAACTTCCTATGCCACTGATGTCAAACAGCATGGCAGATCATCCTTTTGATTTCACACCAGACCAGGACCTCAACATCATGCCCCTCTTTTCCCTCATCATAGCCAGCAATTTTTTCCAGATTCCTGCTGACTATACCACCTCTACTCATGCCAACCGTCCTACCACCATTACTGACAAATCCCCCTACAGCCATCTGTGACCAGCCAGTCCTTTTCCTCCCAGCACCCAGGACCAAATCACCTGGCAATGTGGACGTGATGGACAGCCCCCTGACTGCCTGGTAAGTTTCAGTGGTTTAGTATGCGACAGTCCTGGTCTCTTTCCATACGCACCCTCCCCATGGATCCCTTGCATCATAAGGCTACTTGCAGAATGAGGGGTCCATATTATAACTTGTAGTCTCTCCTGCTGTCTTTTGCTGTGTTCACAGGGGCCTGTCACCAGGGTGAATTTAATATCTCCCTACAAAATCATCAAAGTATAGAGCTGTGTTGAAAAGGCGAGCAATGCAAGCTCAGATTTCTGGGGGAGGACAATGGGGGTCTCTGGAAAGTTCTGTTGCTCATTCCAGGCTGTTGTTTGTGGACTTCAGTGACATTTGTCACATACTTCATGAATGGGCAGCTTAGCACTTCACTGTTTCAGCCCTTTTGAAGGGGTTAATACTGATCGTTCCCATCTCTCAGCTCTCAGACAGCGATAGAACCATGGAGCTCCTACCTACTTCTAGCCCAGGGACTCCGTCAGTTGTGGAGGGAGGGCTGAGGTGGGTGAGTCCATATCTGTGGTCACTGCCCCATTTATCTTCCCATTGCTGTGTATTGGTATGTGGATTGGCCACTAATACCTGGCCCCCAACCCCTTCCCTTGAGCATTTTGAATCGCACCTCTCCAGGGCAACCAGGCACATAAGCCTGTAAACATGAGGTAAAGAAATTGATACAGTAGAACTGCAGGTAAAGTCATTGCCTCTCACTGGTCACAGTTGGCTATGAGAATTCAGCTGGCACCCCATGTCTCCACCAATAACGCCCCAGAAAGTTGCAAACAAGTGCCTGCCTGCTCCACTACCACAGGAGTCTCATGTTTCTTTCAAATGCCAGCTTCCTGCTTGATTTTGGGAAAGATCGATATACTACTCATGTAGGCATATACCTTCCCCTGTCCTGGAACATTTGGGCAACAGAAATTACCATCTCAGGAACCAGGAGAAAAAATGTAAAGGCTCTTCAAATGGGATGCTGAGATGTGCTGGGAAGTACATAGGGTCATTGGTTGTAACTGTTTTGGTTTAAGGACATAGGCAGACAAGGTTTTTTGCATATGTGTGATATCTTTTATTAGACCAACTAAATAGTTGGGAAAATTGTTCTTTGCAAGCTTTTGGGCACAAATACCCTTCTTCAGGCATACTCTCTATTGTTTAGGTTAGTCTAATAAAAGATATCACATCTACCCAAAGAACCTTGCCTGGGAAGTACATCACTTTTATCTTAATGACACTAAAAAAAAATGCTTGTTTTACTGTTGTAATTTCAG